TGTTTATACCGGTGCTGCTAAACTATGAGAGGGAGTTATTTTCTTCCATAAAACTATCAAAAATAGCTTGAAAAGAAAATCCCCAGTGATAAAAAGTAGTCATTTATTGAACAAGTTTGGTCATAATTGTAGGAGAATTTACACAACAGTGGAGGTAAATACGAACTCATAATTCTGTGTGTACTTCTCTATCAGCTGTGATACTGTTTTTGGAACCAAACCAATTATATTTAGGCATTGTATCACAAAGTCCATTTGTGCAAACCAGTGTTATGTGCTGAGTACAAAACAGATGAGGTGCAATTTTACACCTATTGTTTGGTGATACTATGTGATTTTATTTGATTCTTGTTGTGTTCCAGTGTGGGGAACTGCGAGGCGTTCTTTTAAAAATAAATGGTCTAGAATGAAATTAAGTCAACCAAGACAACATTGTACCTGAGAACCATTTGTTGGTACAAACAAACAAACAAAAAACAGTGCTGCCCTACTAAAGAGGCTAGAAAAGACAGGAGGAAGGAAAATGGAAAAGGATGAAGGTGAGGGGAGGGGGAAGAAAGACAGAGAGGGGAGTCAGAAACACAGAGCAGGCATTAGCACCAGAGGCAGGGACGTGGGGGCAAAGCAGGCAGCGCGTTGGTCAGGGACACAGGGAAGCAGGACAGACATGAGGGTGAGCAAGAGCCAGCAAGGGCAGGAGAGCCAAAAGGCAGGCTGAGGCTAGGGCAAGAAGCACAGGTCAAAAGACTGGAGCAAAAGTGAAAAAACAAGACCCAAATGGCTCCCAGACTCAAACATACCAAAAAACAAGACACAAAAAGCCCCAGTTTCCAAGCCCAAAGCTGAAAAGCCCCCAGCCAAAAACCAAGTCTCTAAAAGCCCCCAGGAATTTGTTGAGCAGTTTCTTTTATACCCCTTGAGTCCTCCTAAAGTCTCTCCTCCTGACAGGAGGCCATTGGCCCAGTCCAACCTTCCACAGCACTCCATTGCTGGAGACCTTTCGCCACCTGATTTTAGAAACCTCTCTGGGGAGAACAGTGTCTTTAGTGGTCTCCTCCTGACTGCCTGTCCCATGTGAGGTGTGAAAGGGTTACCACCAAAGTCTCCCCACAGACAAGGCTTTTCTCCATCTTCTCCTGGCTGCCTCCAGCAAGTGGCACATGTGCACCCCCTCCTCGACATGCCTCTGACAACCAGTATTGAGACAGAAATCAAAACTAAATTGTCTCCTCACAGTTCTTTAATATCATACATTAATATAGTGACATTTTGGACAGAGAAATAGGTGTTGTGGAAAGAAGATGAAGTTGACAAAATGTCTGACACTTGTTGGGACGTTTTATGTCTTTAATTTAAAGGCTGAATTTGTGATGAATTTTCTCTTTTTATTGACAGCAGTATAATGACAAAAAAAGATAGCAGCGGAATTTCCAAGGAAGTATTCTGGAATCTTTGCTATCACTAAGTGATTTTTAAATCATAGAAAGTAAATCCCCTCCTTTTTCCGCTACTTAGTTCTTCAGCTTATATCTACCAGAGTATATGAATTAGTGATCACTGCCGGTAGCTAACCTCCTCTGTGATTCATTTTGTTGGTTGGTTTTAGCATGTAAAAGAACAAGAAAAATCCACAGCTCTATCCTTCCAGGCACAGACTTCAGAGTACACAGTATTGCAAATTCTTCACTCTTGCTAGACATTGATCCAAAAGCCTTGCAATTCTAACATGAAAATCACGGCAATGCTCCAAGTAATTGCAACTGACAGGAGACAGCTCAAATACAGGAATGTTTAGCTGGATGTGGACCAGAAAGCTGTATACTTTGCATGAACAAATTCATACTCATTAGAGAACCACAGAGTTAGATTCAATTCATTATGCTGATATTGATCTTCACTGGGGAAAAAAAGTTACAGATATGCCTAGTTGGAAATAGATAGTAGGTATTTTAATATATCTTGATTATGTTTCTAGTATTTGGTTTTGGTTTTCACCAGGAAAGTATCTCATCTATATTTTCTTCAGGTGATTCACTCTCTTCCTTACAACTGATATAATTCAACTTTGAAAACTGCATAAAATTTACCTGCATGTGTGGGTGGCTGGGAATGTGAGACGCATATTTTAAATAGTATTGTGGATGTATTTTACACTTCAGTGAGTTCCAAACATATTGCATTGTGCTAGTTACACTAAATATTGTACTGGGTTTTTCAAAGGAGATTAATTTCATGCTTATTATCAACTGGAATCATATCTTCCTCTGGTAAAAATAACACTAGAACATGCAGTAGCAAACATAAGGTTATTCCTGAAGGATTTCATCTTCCCTGTGCCATACTTATAGTTAACCACATACAGGCATTAATACACAAGGAAGAGAGGTCTCCTTAACATTTGGAAAACCAAGAAGAGAGTGGATATGTAAATAACACATTTTTGTTCATAATATAGACCAAATAATTGTTTTGATGCAGACAGAAGCACCACGGAATTGGCTTATTAAAAATATCATCCAAAAACTAGCATAAAAGTAGTATGAATGAAATTAGGCATTCATTCATTCCCTGGTGTTGTTTATTTTGAACACTTTTAATGAGAGAAAAAGAATTTTCAGAAGTTTAGAAGCTATTTTTAATACTCTAAGTATCCACAGCAGCTTTTAGTTTGTAATTGAATCCAAAGAGCATTCATCTTTAGTACTGAGTATTGATATTCATCTTCTCAAGTGATGGTGTCCACCTGACTCATACAGTGCCATTCTGCTTAGGGATGGCTGTCCTGGATTGCTTGGCTGGGATTCTTACACTGTATTTTTCCCACTCTTCTCAGAACTGCCATTTGAGTTCAGGAGAGAAGGCAGCTGTACACAGAGAGGTGCTTATATACTTGTTGACTCTATGAGGGGAAAAAAAAATGTATTTCTCTCATCTCTAAGGAGAATCTGAAGGAAAGGGATTGGTCACAAGTTGGTTTTAATCCTCAAGCTCTTTTGATTTTGGGGTGAATACTGACTTAACAACCAACTCATATAATTCATTCTTCTTCTATGCGGTCACAGAAGAAAACAGTCTGTATGTTTTTTGGACATAATTTGTTTTTTCTAAAGATGGTTCTAATCCTCAAGCTCTTTTGATTTTGGGGTGAATACTGACTTAACCCACTCATATAATTCATTCTTCTTCTATGCAGTCACAGAAAAAACCAGTCTGTATGTTTTTTGGACATAATTTCTCTTTTCTAAAGACCCCCTCAACTTTTTGAGCCATTTAGAAAGAGATCAAAAAACCAGGTCTGTGTTTTCATGGATTCATAGCAGATTGGCTACATTTGGTCATGTTCTATCTGGTCACAGATCTTCAAACCCTTTCTAAGAAACATGAAAATTTCCTGCAAAATCCCATATCCTGATAATTGTTTCCTGGAATAGGAAAGGGTTTGAATCCCTGAAGCTGAGACTTTAATTCTAATAAAATCTGTAATTTAATGGATTCACATAGTTGTGTCTTTAAGTAAGAGATGTTACAACTTTCTCATCCATATAAATAAAATCTATGCTGGTTTTAACCCAGTGAACAGCAAGTATTGGAGGTTTCAGGAGACCTGGAATCAGAAATGCCAGCTGTAAGAGGTATGATATTTGTATAAAAACACTCAAGCCTGATAGCTAGCAGAGATGTTCTTCTGAAAAAAAATCCAGTTTCTGATAATGAAGAGGTTATAGAAATCAGCGCCTTTAGACCAGATTTGGCAGTGTCCTTTTCCTGAGAATTTGTGGCTGAATATGTCATTAAATCTGTTCTTTAATATTTTGTGCAATTTTTTGTCTCATTTTCATTCAAGTAGCAGTGCTGGGTGAAGCTCAGATTGATTTCCTTTTATTCACAACTGTCTGACAGCCTTTGAATACAGACAATATTTTATGTAAATGGTTCATTAACCACTAACCGAATTACAGGCTTTGGCTCAAATTCTGGCATGTCCATTATTACAAAAATATCTTTCATAACATGGAGACAAAAGCAATATGAAATCTAGAAGAAGGTATGCAAATAATTTTCAGATGGATCAGAAAGCAAATATTTAATGGTGTTTCAAAACCCTCATATTCTATCCACAGAATAAAAATTCTTCCGTATCATTGTCAGTATCACTTTTTATAATTATAATTCTTTAAAATATAGGAAAATTAAAAAAGCTAGTCTTTTCACTTCTATGTGTTTGATCACAAATGGTAAAAATAATATAATATTTCTCTTCTTAAAGATGTACTGATTCCAATGTTATTTTTTTGCTTTTGTTTCATAGGTAGCATTTCAACACCTACAATCACCTGCTTTATTTTTATAGATCTTTTCTACTTTGAAAGATATACTCTTGCTTTTGATTTCCGGGAAAATATTTCTTTCAACCTAATTTGTAAATTAGTTCTTAAGCTGAGCAGAGGATAAGAAACCTTCTATTAACATATTTTCTTAGTAACTTGAAATCCAGGCTTTGAAAAAAAGAAAAAATTATTCACGTATTCAGCTGTGTTTCAGAATTCCATAAAATGGCTAAATTATTTATAAGATTCTTTGTCATAAGCTTATTTAAAAGAATTTAGACTTTGAATGATCTAATTAGCTGTAACTGTTTGTTTTGTTAAATTTGATATAAAGTTTGTTATTCTCTTTTACATAATTATACCGTCAACAGTCTGATCCCTTACATTTTTATATGATGAAAGTAGCTATTAAGAAAGATCATTTTGTCAAAGAGAGGCAAAAATGGAAAATGTTTTTGCAGTAATTTAGCATACAAGGAAATTAATGTGGTTTTCTTACAGCTCTGTAGTAGAAAGCTTAAATTGTTTATCTAACACAAATATTATTGCATAATATTCAATATTATTTTTTTTTCCCTTGAAGACTCTAAGGAGACTTTTGTGGGTAGATTATCAGCAGCTTAGGTCTGTCTGGTTGTTGCTGATTTTTAAACTGTGTTTGTACTTTTGCAGATGTGCCATCAAATCCGTACGGAGTACGAGTTTTAGAGCTGTCACAAACCACTGCCAAGGTTTCCTTCAATAAGCCAGATTCACATGGAGGTGTTCCCATTCACCACTACCAAGTGGATGTGAAAGAGGTAGCCTCGGAAACCTGGAAAATAGTTCGCTCCCATGGAGTTCAAAGTAAGTATACATAAAATAAATTGAAGTATTTTGACTGAGAAGAATGTCCAAGGAAAATACTCTTAAGTATTTCTTAACTGTTTCTTTGTCTTAGTCCAGTAGCTGTATCTCTGTCTTAGTGTAGACCTCTCTACACCAGTTTGAAATAGTCCTGTAACTTTGTAAAAGTAGGGGTTTTTTTAAAAAAAATTTACAATTGTTATCCATTTTTCATGTCCAGCCAAAAGCCAGCTTTTGAATCTATACATTTCAAAGAGAGTAGAAATTATATAGCATTTGAGAATGTGCATTATGTATACAGCTAAATGAATAATTTTAAGTAAGCTGTTATGTCATATTTAATCCTGGGCACTAATTACTGATTTTGAGCTACTTAGTAACTTTCTACATACCTGTTAATATTCAAGATACCTGTTTCAAAAGCATATCATGTTTGTTCAATGAACATTAAATGCCCTCTAAAAGGGTATTTACTTACATGTCTCTTGGCAGAAAAGAACATAAGCCTCCCCAAACAGACAGGAGTTCTTTAGGCCCCGATGAGCTGGGGAGTTCATACAGAGTAATGTTAACTCCTGTATCCAAATAAACCTTTTGGTATTTTCAGTACTCCTTAAGGTAGCCTCAACAGTCTTCTGTTTAATACTTCAGCAGGTAAATGGTTTTCCAGCAATCAACAGAGTCACAGGAGACAAAATGTTGCAAATCTAAAGTGTGTTCTCTCTTTCCCTTTCACATACTGTAATACAAAAATTCTGCACTAAACTGAACATGTTCAACATTACAGAATTATTCCAAAGAAACATATAATGAAGATTTAGTTAACATGTTAAAAAAAAGGTTTATAACTCCTTATCTTTTTTTTTCTTAGGTCAACACATTAACTGTGTATATAAATATAATAATATAAATCATAGTAACATTCATTTTGTTCCAGTAAAGCTTGAATTTCTCTCCATACTGGAAGATCTAAAGAAGAATGTGCCTGCCGTCTATTTCCAGGGCAGGCACATTAATGGATATTGGTGTATTTCTGTTTTTTTCATGCAATGTTGAAGATCAAGTTAGAGACTTTTATTCTCACAGCTACTTCCTTCAATGAATTTGCAGTAATTGTTTTCTGATATTGAACTATATCAAATCGTAAAACCTGAAGTGACTAGTCTGCATAGTAGGGTGCAAGGTACTCAAATGAGTAAACACTCAGTGAGTACAGAGTCATTTAGTCAATCACACAGTTGATTGACTTCATTGTAAAGCCAAGAGAAACACATGTCCTCAGTGTTAAATATGCAAAAAACATATTCATCTTGCTTCTTATAAAACATTTTTCCTATTATTTCTGTTGTTGGGAAGCTTATTAAAATATTAATTGATTACAGTAAGAAAGATGTGCAATTTGACAGACTCTTGTTACTAGAGTTGACTGGGGCTGCCTTCTTCAAAAAGTCACTTTCTTTTTGAAACATTCTTTCAGCATTGGGTGTTGTTGCTCACTTTTATATTTCTGTATAACATGAATTGATCTTGGAATCATTTTGGTCCAAGACTTGTTTGAATTCTATGGTTCTAAAATTAGAGTAGAGTGACAGGTACAAATACCTGCAGTCCTTATGCAAATGTTACAACCATGAAGGAGATTGCGAGTATTTAGGATCTCTGCTGCCACCCCTACTCATATTAAACATTTATTTGGCAGAGAACTGCATTACTTCCTGCATACAGTCATATTATTCCCCACATCCTCCTTTGTATACTTTGCTCTCCTTTTTCACATGGACAGTTTCAGGGGGTATACCATCTTGCAAGCATGTGTTCTCCTCTTCATTTCATTGTCTCCTAATTGTCTGCTGAAAGATTTTGTTGAGAAAACAAAATAGGTGACACTTATGATTTTGGCCATATTAAAGACACCTCTTAATAGCATATGTTACCAAAAATTACTCCAAGTGACGACAAAAATGAGTAAATATGAATACAACCTGAAAAGCCATCTTTGTCTACAAAGAGTCATATAGTAAATACATAAATATTGATAGGCTAGTGGGCAATATTAAAAATTAATACTACATTCATAATTAATTCATGATGTTTTCTGAAATCTCTACTGATACACCCCTGTATAGAAAGATTGAGGCTACATACCTTGTATTTCTCTGAATTGCTCTCTGAACTATTTTAGAAATCAAAAACTACTTCAGATTGCCAAACATTTACTAAACAGAAGACATCTTGTTTTCATAAATATTATTAAGCTACATGATATAGCTGGATAGGGAAATCAAAAGTGACCTGGCTTCATTTATCATAAGTCCCTGCAGATAGTCTATAATAAATTGAAAACTTGATCTATTTGTGAAGTACTATAGGGCCAAACCAGAAAGCCAAAACATGTTAGCAAAGCACAAACGTAACAATCCAGAACAGAAAAAGCTTTTCCAAAATGGAAGTGTCAAAAAACAAAATTAGTGTCCTTTTTTAGAAAGGAAATTCTGCTAAATTTAAATGAAATCCTTCTGGAATATTGAGCCTTTGTATGTTTCCTGGACATTCAGAGGGTTTTAGCAATTTTTCTAAAACATCCATTTAAAATTCTCTCCATTATATTTTATCCTACTTACAATGTTAGGATAGCCTTGAGATACTCTCTCCAAAATCCCTATTTTCAATTCCTGAAATATTTTTCAAAGAAGCTTTTATTAGTGTGAAGGTGCTATTTTTTGTTTTCTTTTTTGTTTTTTTGGTTTTTTTCTTTCAGCTTTTTGAGACATTTTGGATATTTTATTAAAGGATAATAACAGATACATGGTCTTGGGACAGTTTCTGATTGGGTTTAAGTAATGAAGAATCACTTTCCTAGCATGCCTCAACATCATCTCAGCTAAGACGAGGATGTTTAGAATGCAATCAGTTTTCTGTATTACCATTTGTAGTTGGATCATCATAATTTCCACACTCAGTCAATATTCCTTAATGGAAACAGAACCACTTTTTCCATCTGTTCACATTTTAGGGACGGTTTATGGCTAAGATTCAGATATAAATGGTGTTTACACAGGGACAGATAACTGCTTGCACATCTCAAGTGGCGGTGCATACATAATGCATGGGCCATGATTTTTTCCCAGTAGTAAGTGACAAAACATTCTGAAATTTTACAAGGATGGTTATTTATCTGTCAGATTTAACTCAAGAGGGGTAAAACTGCAGACCTTTCTTGCCACAATGTACAAAATGTGCAAATTCCAAAAAACACCATAAGGGGAAAGAGACATAAAAATTTACAGGCAGGAAAATGTTGTACCTAGAATTCCAACAGAGGGATTTTCAAGACTAAACTGTCTTCTGCTCCCTCTCTGCTCTGACTTAAAGGACTAATGTATTCTTCACACCAAAACAAAGAACCATAAAGTGATAAAATTAATGAAAAATGCTTTTTTAAATTAAACAAGCCTCACAGAAATGTGGCTGCAGAAGCAAGTTTATAAATGAAGTATTAATAGGTGATTAATAGGTGTTTCAAAAAATTTTTGAGAAGAATTGCTCCTAGTGCTAGCAAGTTATTAATTTTCATTTGGTTATGATCCAATAGCTATGCATAAAACCTTTTACAACTAAGAATATAATTGTTTTATTCATATGAAAACCACAATATCAAAGTTGTTAGGTATTCTTTTGTAATCAAACATCCAGTAAATACAAATAAGTTTAATCAGGATGATTAAGCAGAATGAAGTAGATTCCATGCAAATGCAGTCTGCAATTCTCTTCATTTGCCATTTTCTTCAAAAAAATCCCTCTGAAGGTGACTTTTGTCTCAAACTTTACTACTTTGAGCTGTTTTCAGGTAAGGAGAAAATTCTAGTCTTGGAGCTGTAACCAGGAATATCTATTTCCCTGTTCTCTCCCCTTTGTCTTTTATAATGAAGAAGATTTCATTTGAAAGTCTGTGCTGATTGCAGCTATTGAAGCAGAGCACAGATAGTGAAGCAATCATCTGATACACCAATTTCAGTCTATTAAGGGATTTAAAATCATAATCAACACTCTCATAATTCAGCAAGAGATCAGGGAGCAAATGGCAGTGAGATTTTTCCTCACTTTTTAGGTGCTCCTCTGAATATGAAAATAGTTTTGTTGCAGGCTACCAGCAAATCCAACTTTACAGTGGAGTTCTCTGTGGACCGGGGTCCCAAGGGGAGGTGGATGAGCAAGGAACAGTCCCCTCAGGGCCCAGACATTTATGATTCTGTCAGAAGTGAAAAGAAAAACCACTAATCTTGAAGAAGCAGAAATGCTTATAGTAGTGGGAAGATTAATTCTCCAAGGAGAGTTTGCATCCTTTCACCCAGGGAGCTGGTAAATCCCTGAGTGTGGGAAGGTGCCCATCCACCATCAGCAAGGGGATAACCAGGGGTGAAGCGCATTTGCCAGCCTTTCTTTATTCTGTAGGCACAAAAAAAACAGTGACAAGGTGTAAGATACCTGTGCTGGGAAAAATCACCTTATGACAATGCGGCGTGCAATTTTGTTTTTGAAGAAAGGACATTAACTGATCTGTTTCTGTCTAATCAACAAAGATTTCATAAGAAAAAGCCTCCTTTATTTTTCCGTTTTGTGCAATATTGACTTTTCCAATGAAGAAACAAGATAGAGTCTCTGAAATTCAGTTCTTCACATTCAATCCCTCAGAAAGCACCACTGGTTTAACTCTAATAGAGAAGTCATCAAGGTCTTGTTTTGTCTTGATATCATTAGTAATTCCCGTTTACAGGGAGCAGATAATGCATTTGTAAAAATTAGCTTTTACACAAATCCAAACCACTGTGGAAGTGGGCTTGAAACCTGAAAAATGTACACTCTCTGAAAACATTTGAATGTCTTCAACAGGAATGCAAAACACATTATTTCCTTTGCTCTTCAATTTACAGGTAGACAGATAAAGATTTTTTTTTTCAGAGCATTATATATTTCTGAGTGAAATACCAAGAAAAAGCAGT